CTCCCCTTGCATCCCTCCTCCCATTCCCCCCTCCATCTGTCATTATACAGTATATTTCATTGTATAAGAGCCCCTGACCTATAGGAAAAAAGTGCTTTTGTTTCAGCTGGCCACTTCCTTTGCCAGCTATCCCATATGTTTATACTCAGATCTGTCTCGTGGAATTTGGACTTGGTTGGCTGTCATTTTGAGATGGATGTGATAAACACCAAGCGTTATCAAAATCACCAATCCCAAGATCAAGCCCAGGATGAGAGGAAGCGTTTCTTCTAATTGCTCTCTTTGATCCACTGGACATTTATGTTCTGCAGCAGAGGCAAAAGGGAAGAATGGAGAGAGACAGAGAGGACAGTTATTTCGCATGCAAGTATTTCTCCTGCAAAACAAATGATTACTTTCATTTTCCTCTGAAGACTTCATGACAACAGACAGATGCCTCACCATCATACATACCCTCGCAACAATCCTGAGAGGTAGATTAAGCTGAATAGAAGAAAATGGACTGTCTTTAGATTCCCCAATATGTGGGAGGTGAATCTGGATCTCCTCAGACCTAGGCTGAAATTTAGCCCATTGTATTAAACTTGTGCTGCATGAAACTGAGGAGGAGGAAAATTTTAGTGTAACACAAGCCCCTTATGCCCTTGAAAGTCCTGAGAGGCACACTGTTTGGGCAAATCAGGGACTCAAAGCAGGCAACCTGAATCAATGTTCTCCGATCAATTATTAGGTGAATGTAAGCCTTGCCCTACCCGCGTCCTTTCCTATTGCTCGAGAGGATGGGTCATTGCCTCATGTGCCAATGACCAAGTCCACCAGAGTAGTGATTGCTGCTGCTGGTGCTGTATCAGTACAGCTCTGGCAATAAAGTGGTTCTGATGGCAATGGGAGAAGATTAATGCCCATAACAATAACTCTCTCTGCTACTCCTTTATTAGTAACTTTGATTGTATTTTAATTGAATTTTTCATTGTTAGTTTTTACGGTTGTCTTTTTTATTGTGCGCCACCCAGAGTCACAAATCTGTGAGATGGGTGGCTATATAAATACAATGTATAAATAAATATGTCCATATGGGAATAAAAGGGACTGCATCTCTTTGACAGAACTGATCGTTTGCAAATGCCCACACTCAGCAAAGCACATGGCTGCAGTCTTTCATAGGGCTCAGCCTATTTTATTATTTCCCCTTCCCACCCCATCGGATTCTTCAACTCTGAGGCACCAGAATGTACCTTGAATTCACTCCCTTGACTTGCACAGAAATATAACTCTCATTCCAAGAATTATTGTAACATGCTCTTCATGGGGCTGCCCTTAAAGGGTATCTAGAAGCTTCAGCTGGTGTAGAATGCAGCTGCGCGGGCAGTTACAGGTGTCCCTAGGAAGGCACACATCACACCTCCATTCCGCAAGTTGCATTGCCAGTTTGCTTCTGGGTGCAACTCACAGTGCTGGTTTTGACCCTTAAAGCCCTACATGCACGGGACCAGGTTATCTGAGAGACTGCCTCTTCCCGATCACATCTACCTGTCCCACCAGGTCAGGCAGGAGGGCTCCCATCTCCATCTGGTGGGACCAGGCAGCATGCCTTTTCTGCTGTGCCCCCTCCTCCCCCCCAGGTGAGGTTAGCCCTATCTCTGTTAGCCTTCTGGAAGGTCTTTAAAACATGGTTTTTCACCAGCCTTGGGGATCCCAAGGAGGCCCTGCAAGATGGCTGTATGAGATTAAGTGATATTTGTTCTCCCACTTTCTTGGGTTTTATCTGTTTATTTTGTTGATCTGTTTTATTTTTGATCATTTTAGATTCTTATGGAGTTTTTAACTGTTGTTGTGTCATATGCTGCCCAGAGTCATGGGTTTGTGAGATGGGTGGCTATATAAATATACCAAATGAATGAATGAATGAATGAATGAATGAATGAATGAATAAATAAATAAATAAATAAGAGCCGTATGACCATCCAGTGCTAGGGTGTGTAGGGAGCAGAGAAGACAGGCCCATTTGATAACCAGACATGGTCACAGAAGAAATGAAGGTTGAACTTGTGAGTAAAAGAACAGACTGGAGGAAAACCATGAGGAGAGCACTTGGAAAAGAAGCCAGTTTTAAAAACCTTCAGGTCAGGAAGCCATTTGGTGGAACAGTATCAGTTCACTAGCTTGCTGACAAAATCTACTCTTTCCTATTATCTTTTAATCTGCTGGATCCCATATGCTCATCTTGGCCGTTGCCTTGATAAGAGTTATAATCTGATCTGGTGCAACCTGCTTGTTCCCCTATTGTCTGCTTTGATTCAGTTGGCAGTTCTCAAATAGCCAGCTGGGAGAAAGCCTGGAGGGATTCTGCTTCAAGCAAGCAAGCTGTGGCTAGGGCCATTTGACATGTTTACTTTTGAGAAATAAAATTAAGATGTACAGGTAAGCCCAGCCTTGGAACTCAGCCAAACTCACCACTGATGGTATTGCTAAAACAAGAGAACCACACATTTCTTCTCAAAATTGCATTTGTGGAGAGTTGTGGCCCAATCAAGAAACCTTAGAAGTAGCAAGCTCTTTTGGCCAAAGCTCAGGGCCAGTCCTACCCTTAGACAGTATGAGGCAATTGCTTCAAGGAGCAGATGCTAAGAACTGGTAGTAAGGAAGACCAAGCTGTGTGCCACCTAGGCTGTTCTGCACTGGTTAAAATAACCTGCTGTCTTCAGTTACCAGGCTGGCCCTTTGCAGTCTTGATGGAAGATTCAGATGCAATCCAATTCATTTTTCTACTTGCAATGAGAGAGGAGTATATCATGCTGTTCTTTACCTCTGGTGCAAAAACATCTTGAGCCAGCCCTGCAAAAGCTGTCTGCTTAAAATGCATACTTGACTCGGACACACTAAACTTTCCTCAAAACTTTCCAAAATGCACTCTTTTCTTCAGACTATTTTTTTGTTAACGTAGAAAGGCATGCTACACAGTTCCTGAATTCCTGAATATGATTTGAGATCACAAAATGAAAAAAGAATACAGCTTTCTGAATAATGTGATTTGTGAGCTAAAGTAGCCAGAGATTACATATCCCAAAACAGCCTTAGATTTTATTCTTGCGTTAGAGTCAAAACTATAATGATAATGCTTTTGAGTCGGATCAATATAGAGAATTTGCCCAGGAGACATGAAAGCATATGTGCAAATTTCAATTAGGAGTCTGTCTAGTATTCAAGTCACAGTTGCACATGTGCCTATTTTACAGACTGAGAACTACACAAAAAAGAATTCATTGTATGAAATCAAGGTTGAACTGAAATACTGTCAAGAATGCAAAATGAGAGCAGCATATGAGCAGAAGGAGGACAGCAATTCCCACCGTTTTTTTTAAAAAAAGAAGAGGAGCAGGAGAAATCACAAAAGAAGTCACAAGTCTTCCTGTTAAAAAACCTTTATCAGACATTGGTGCAACAGTAGTGCAGTCAGCCACCATAATCTGAAGCACTGCCAAGATGTCAAATAAAATGGGTATACTGGAGCAATGAGTGAAAATGGACTAAGGTGGGAATCAGCAAGGACATTAACTATTAACCAGGGGCACAATTATAGCGTAACCCACTTGAGAGGCCTTTGATCATATTGATTATGATGCCAAATTTCAGACCTCTCTAGCAACAATGAGCACTGAAAACAATTAATCCAAGGAACAAACTTCTTTACACTCAGGTTAGCAAGATTAATTTGGAAAAAAGATTATAATAACAACCCAGCAATTACAGCCGGTACACTTTGTTTCATATCAGGAATCTTTATCTAGGCCAGTGTTTCTCAACCTCAGCAACTCTAAGATGTGTGGACTTCAACTCCCAGAATTCTCCAGCCAGCCATCCTGGGAGTTGAAGTCCACACATCTTAGAGTTGTCAAGGTTGAGAAACACTGATCTAGGCAAACCAAAGCAGTCAGATTCTGATTCTCCTTCACACACATTTTTGATGCAAGGGGGAGGAGGCCTTTCTCTTTTGAGAAGGCATGTCAGCCTGAACCTGAAACTGTTTACAAAATGGTTACTGGCCTCCTTACCAGGGTGATAATCAGCTCTTACACCAAGTATTCTATTATACGACTTTAACCTGCCCTCCTGTTGCTAGCCATCTGCATTTTCCAGCCCCAGATTTTCCACTTTTTTCATGACCAGCTTCCTTCCCCTTTACTCCTACGATCTAGTCCCTTTCCTATTCCTCCCCTAGGCTCACTTCTAAGTCCCTGTTTACTTTCCTTAGATCTCAACTTTGCCTTCAAATGTTTGTAACCGAACTGTAGAGAGAGGATTGCCTAGAAGAACTGACTTGTTCCAACTAACTCCCAGTTAAATGACTAATTTAAGGCAGTTGTATCATTCTGTTGTTTGTGAATGCACAGAATAGCAAACGTGTAAAATGGTGTACATTGGGACAAAAAATAAGTTTAATGACATCTGAATAATCATGAAAGTAATCAAGGGTTTATGATGGGAATTTCAGTGCCATCAACAAGATAGTGTTTAGTATTGTAGCAATAAAAAAGGCAAAAATCCATATAGAGAATATTACAAAAATTAAACAACCAGTAATGCTATTGTACATGTGGAATTTCATAAACCTCTCAAATAAATAATTTTGAGATCAGGGGAAAAAAAAGGAAGAAAGACCAAACAAATTTATTAGACTTTGCTAATGATAATGATTCATAAATCTCGAGTAGTAATGCAGATATAATGGGAGAGAAAATATTTTCTCCCACCCTACTCAACACTTCTGGTCAGCTACTAAAAAACATATGCAATAGACTCAGAATATACAAACAGTATGTTTTTCTACACAACATATCATTAATTTATGGACTCCTTGCCAGAAGATTAGATAGGCTAATTACTATTAGCCATGGTAGAATCATAGTTCTGAAGAAACCTACCACCTATCAATGATCTACTATGTCTGCTTAACAGATCATCTGCAACACAGCTGCAGCATACCTCAGAGAGGGCTGTTCAACCTCTGATGCAATGTCTCCAACAAGGGAAATTCCCATCTCCTTTAGTATTCCACTGTTGAAGAGATCCTAGGGTTTCAATGAAATCTGTACTCCTACCATTTCTCCCCATTGATTCTATCCTGCCCTTTAGAACTAGAAAGTCTGCTTCATTCTTAAAATGTCTATTTCATAGATGGTCAGGATCTCCCTATTCAGAAGGAAACTATCTCTGGACAGCTATTGTTGGAAGTCAAAAAAAGGCAGGATTGTTGGCTTCATGCACTGGACTTAGAATAGCAAGAAGCATGCTTGACTATTTGGATACTTAGCCTAATCCAACAGGGATTTTCTTACAATTTCATATATTTGCCCCTTATTTATGCACACTGGACTATGACATCCATGCATTATTACACGCACACACAAACATTTAATAAACCCTCCATAGTTTGCGAGAAAATGCTTGAGCTAGAGGAATATATAGAGTATCCATTATATAAGAAAGACAATGATTTATAGAAACTTGGAAAAGTTTAGAGAGAATTCAGAACAGAAAGGGAAACCAAGAGCATGATGAAAGGCATGTTGACATTGTCCCTTTTCAGTTCAGGACCATAAACTTTTGCCAGAATAGCAATGAATTATTATTATTATTATTATTTTAATCTGCACTCAGTCGTTACCG